AATATCCATGATAGACACGACTGAAAAAGTGCTTTTATAATTCATTTTCGTATTCTCGGTTTGTAATAGTCTGATGATATACATGTAATTATGTATATTACTAGAAGGATTAATTTTTTTTTTAATGTATGTAAAAAGATAAACTTCCATTGATTCAAAGTAATTAATGAGCATTAATTCAGAGTTATAAGGGTAAAAATAAATATGAGTTTCATGTTACAACATCAGTTTCTATTTACAATAAGAAGAGTCTCATCTTATATTGATATAAGGAGAGTAAAAAAATAATATTTCTATTTAATTGACAGAATTAATTAGAATATGAATCTTAGAAATATAAATGAACTTCTTTTTTCTCTATTTCCATGATAATTATTAACAATGTAATGAAAATCAGAAGTGCTTTTTTTTTTCTAAAATCAAATTATTATCAGAATATTAATTTTATCAACAAGTATATACTTCAATAAGATGATAAACAAAAAACTGCAAGATGATAATTACATCTAGTTTTTCTTTACAAGTATTCTTTGAATATGAGGAACTCAATAGAAAAAATAATATATATATATGAGATCGATCGAAAACATTAATATCAACAACTACAGAAGAATAATTCATTTATAGTTTTAATGAGATCCTTCGAAGAAATAAGTTAGTTAAATAATATCTTTTTTCTTAATCATCGAAGGTCAGGGAACTTGATGACTTTGTACCAAAAAAAGAATTATGATTATATTATCAACAAAGGTCATTATTCACCCATAATAATTTTCTCGTTGCCCATCAATTAAATCGTTCGAGTGTAAGAATGTGAAATGCATCTTTACCGCTATTCTTTCTGATTGAAGTTTCTGTATCAAAGATTTTGTAATACAAATGTTAATGTAAATAAAGCAAAAGATACATTCTACTGAGATAAACTTGGAATATTTTCGAAGAGTAAACACTCGAATAACTATTTCTTATAATAAAATGTCAAAGAACAAAAATTCATATGATTCGATCTAATTTGTTATCTTATTTGGGAATGTAATTTTTAAAGAGAATGACAATCAATAGAAGAGATTATCAAACATAATTTCTATTTGGTAACAAAACAAAAGACATAGAAAACAAAAATCAATTAAACAAATTCTTGTCGAAAAGACTAAGAATTATTAGACTTTGTCGAATAAAATGAATACATAAAAGCTCTGCTTAATATTCTAAACAAAATATAATCTCAATGCTCTTAAAAATTCATGAAATCAATATTTTATTATTAAGATATAATAAGAACAAATCAGTGGGTACATATGTCCCCGCCTTGGAATGGTGTTAACCATAACCTATATTCTTTCTATACTTGGGTTGTGGACATATTTATTCACACTAACGATTTGCATATTTTTATTACGCTCATTTATTTTGCATATTACTATTCATGTCACGTTAGCAACCACACTTATTTCATCTATTCTTGATCACGCACACTTTCTTCAGTATTCGAGTTCTTTTTAATTGCTGCATTCACTCATTCACTATTTTGTATTATTCTAGTCCTTTTTCTTCTCTTATCTCTTTTGTTCATTGTTATTCTTTGTTTCCTGTTCATTATCAATTCAATATATTGGAAAATCTTCAGTTATCCTCAAGTCATCTTATGATGACACATTCATCTACTATTTCATAATAACACCTAAGATTACACTCAGTTGCATATATAATCACCTCACCTGTTGGACTTTTTTCAATTATATAATAATATGAACTCACTAAATCAGACAAATGACATTTTCAATTTTAGCTAAAAATGAATACTTCTTAAATAAAATCAATTCTGTCGACAGTATCAACAATTTGATCGTATTCCAGGTTTTTATTTTGATACAAGCGATGGATGATATTTAGAATTAAAATCCAAAAATTCATTGGATAATCTATGTTTCAATGTAAATTATTTCGCATTAAAATTTCATTTGCTACTCAATAAATAAATTTTTTATGAATCATATGTCATGATGAAATGTACAAGTTTCAATAATTTTTTTTTACGTGCGAATTTGAAATATTGTACTTATTTTTAATTAAAAACTAATAAGTACTTTTGACAATTAAATACCTGACATATTACTCATATATTAATATATAACGTGGAAATAACTGTATTCTAATGACACTGGTTTCTGTTTTTGGCTGACACTAAAAATATCCAATATCTACATAAATCTATCTCATGTGGCAACGCTTATCTACAAGAACAAAAAATAATTAGACGAAGGAAAACTAACGAGGCATTGAGTCCACGGAAAATCGTTAATTTTTCTGTTTCAGCTCATTAATTTCCAGAAAAATGATGATCTAAGTGCCTAAATATAGCGAAAAATAAAAGAATATTCTGAAGTAAGTTTTGTATTAAAATATAGATTCTTATTCAATTATCGATTCAAAAAAATACATCTTGTCTTAACATTTATTGTCTTTCGGGTAATGTCATCTGAATATGTCTAACTTGTTTAACGATTTATTTAATTAGAAGAATCGGAATATACTTCTTTTTATCTATGCATCGGCCACTAATTGTAACTGGAAGAGTGGTTATTGTTTTATATTTAGAAGACCATAAATATATTGACAATAATAGTAATTAGTATACATAAACAAAAATTTGTGTGTGTGTGTCTTTGAGACTTCTAAAGAAATAAACCTATAGATTCATTAAATTAATCAACTAGCTTTGAATAGAAAATAATCTCAGAAGAATTCCATCATCCTAGATAATATGACTCGGTGATATATATGAAATATATTGAGCGAAACAAGAAAAGAAATGAAACCTTCCTCAGTAATAAACCTAATTAACATGAACATGCAATAAGACTCTTATTGATGATTTATATTTAGAAAGCAAGAACAAAACAAAAATAATGAAGATAGTCCTACCGGTAATAATTGAAAATGGCATTCATATCTATTGTCGGTTTGAATTTATTGGCTTTTGTTTTATGATACTCTTGAGTGTAGTTTTATTCTAATAAATTGTACTTTGAATACAGTACTTTAACTTGTGGGATCACGTTGCTTTATAAGATTTTTCTTTTTTCTTTTTTATAAATGAATTAAAAAAAGAAGAAAGAATAAGATGATTTGTTTCTTTTCTCAGTTTCCTATTCATGTTGTGCAAAGATCGATGCTGATGTCTTCAGATAAACAGAAAGAGAGAGAGAGAGAGGGATACAGAGAGATACAGAGAGAGGGGCGAATAGGAAAAAAAAAGATAAATGAGCTAAGTCAATCAACAACATCTTCTTTACCACGCAATAGAAGTTTTTTCTTCTCTCTCCGCTACGCTATGTTTCGGTCTAGTTATATTTGTCCATATTGATAAAATATACATAGAGTCATCTTAGAAGACAAGAAAAATTGATGACATAACGATTATATTCGGTAATTCTTTTTCGATTAGTTTCCTTTAAGTAAAAGAACAAAAAAAAAATTTATGATCAATTTTGAAACGAATAAATAGAAAAATTATTAACAAAATCGTGATGACAACATGCTGTCTCAGGAAGTCTACACATACGTTTGATTGAATGACAAATGAATAGGTTTAACCTGGTGTTTTCTATTCATAATTCAACTCGATATGTCAACAAGAAGTTCTCAACAGCTTTCTTTTTTTCTTTTCGTCTTATGATAACCTTGTGACTTTGTTATAAATGACGATCAAGAAGAATATCATCATTTGTGAATACAAGGATAATCGCTATCGTTGTCATCATGAGAAAATATACCTAACGTTGGCCAGATGCTAGCATACATCTACTTATACATTCATAAGATATATTTATAGAATGATCATTTTCATTCTGGAAGACGAACCACTACTTACTGTAAAATATATAAATTGACGGTTTTTTTTGGAATATATGACTATGACAATTCACACGCCTTTCATTCTTGTCGACGTCGTCTGCCTGGTTCTAATTGAATGATTCTTTCTTGTCGTTGTCTGTTTGTGTTTGTCTATGTCCCTGATACAACGTATGCTTAGTGCTAGTAAGTGTTAACCTTTTGTTTTTTAGACAAGCAGACAAGAGAGCGCTTGGCATCGAGTCGAAAAGAATAAGAAGAACAAGACGAGAGGAAGGAAAAGAACGAGATGAAAAAACCGAGAAAAAAGACATGAGTACAAGTATAAGAGTAGAAAAGAAAAGAAAAGCTGAAAACGCCATTTATTAGCGGACCATCGACTTTCTTTTGCCGTCTATTTTTTTTTGTCACTATTTTATATTACATCGACTTACTGCTTCTATTGTTGATAGAATTGTTCATTATCGTCATCGAAAAAATGCATCTATATGCGTAAAACTTGACAAAAAATGGATTGAGCGCAAAATAGAAAAGGAAACTACACTGTCCCTTATGAATTAACACTTATATGACTGTAATTCATTTTATTTAAAACGTCCTCTCATCATCGCTCGTTTCCTAGTCTTTCCATTACGTTCCCATGATTATAATTGAGGAAAACAATTCAATAATGATAACATCGGAAAAGAAGCGTAGCAGAAAAGCTTAATCCATTAACGATCTATATTGTCATGTCTAATGTTCTAATCAGAAGCTCGTCCAGAAAATGTCCTACAGGATATGTTCATGAATTCTTTTTTTTTTCTTCTTTTTTGCTAGAAGGATTACTCTGCGTAACATCCCCATTCATTCACAAGTAACCACTATAAAACGAAGGATGTTATACTAATCGTCGCTCGAACGATCAATCATCATTGACTTTGTGTAACTGTAACTGAATCAGATGTGACGGCAGAATATGTCTGTTATTCTTTTACGAATCGCTGCTTTTCCAATACGAGTGACAGCTGCTTCCCATATGATTAAAGTGTGTCATCAAAATGAAAACAAAACAAAAAAAAACGGAAATACGAAGGACAAATGCTCTTGTTTTTTTTTCAATAAATTATTCATTGTTCATAGGTAAAAAAGAAAAAGAAAATCTCTTAGATAGTCGTGTGACTTCTCACAAGATCTATATTAAGTGGTAAATCTTTCGTTGATGTCGATGCTGTTTTAGCTCGTGTTGCATTAATAGCTTCTTTTGCCCATGGATCATAATGAACAACAATAACTGGTCGATCTCGTTCTTCATAAATACTTCTTATACGTTGACGTAATCGAGAATATGGTACGGCTGTGTCAGGTGCAATTAAAAATGTTTGTCGCAATAGATAACGATCATGTAAATTTGGTTGTTCACGACGCCAACTTTGTAAGATATAAGCAGGAGGTTGTTCGATTTGTTGTCGAATTGTTGACGGTGAAACAACGGCTGTTACAGCCATGTGAATAAGGTAAAGAAATTCTTTATGTGAATGAAAATGAATGTGTGCGCGTGTTTGAGATGGCTTCTTTAATTTTCAGAACGAGAAAGATTGTTTGTATTGTAAGAAAAGAATAAGAAGGAAAAAAATTACAATTATTTTTTGTTTTGCTTGAAAAGATGAAAAGTTCAAGTGAAACTTGACGTAATATTATTTAGTACTAAACCATAGCAAAAGAAAAATAAATTTCTCTTTTCTTTTCAAACACTAGACTATTATGCATTTATTCAAGAATTTTATTTTTATTCCTTTTATTATACGATACATCCTTCCATCGAGGGAGATTCAATTGAAAACGTTATTATTTATATAGACCAATACACATTTTCATATTTCGACAAAATTTAATTATACGGAGATGATTAGAATTTATGTTAATTTGTTATAATAATTATTTTTTTTTTGCGTAGAAAACGAACAATTGGCTTGATTATGTAGTTTTTTGAAATACATAAAAAATCATGTTCCTCTAATTTTCTTTTCCGTTATTCTATGGGTATACAAACGTTAAGGCCAATATTATCGTAGTGCAAACACAGCATTACTTCCTTATGTTTACATAACATACTTCTAATATGAACGAAAAAGACTTACATCAAACAATGGTTTTTTACATTATAATAAGAATGTTTCTTGAAAGTCATCATTGAATTTATAAAGAATCGCGTAGATAAATATCAAATTGATATTTATAGCATAAATTAAAATATTGAGGAAACAGATGTTTCTTAACTTATTCTGATACTGTGTTTTCGTTGAATGAGTTACATCCTCAAGTTGATATAGTACTATTATAAAAAAAATGTATTCATGAAGTTATAAAAATGGAACAACGAACGCATGAGATTATTTAACTTGATATATACTCTATGAATACAATTATAAAAGTTTCCTGATCATAAGTCTAGCTAATGGAAAATTTAGCATAATATATATAAATTATTGTTGACAAAAAAGAAAAAAAAACAGGCGTGCAAAGGATTTTTGATCTCCAGATGATTGACATAAACATGCTGTACAACGATGTAAAAAAGAAATTATATCTTTTTTTTTTTTTTTTTTACCATAGTTCTGATGATTTTCGCACTCGAATGAATACAACGATCTATATTTCTATTTCGGTTGACTGAACAAAAGCATTTCACAATCACACCATAAGAATCGATGTATTTCATAGATTATTATACGTCGTGGATCGACAATGTTGAATCAAAAAAAAAAAAAGTGCAAAGTACATGACAAAGATATCTTAAATCAAATAAATAACTTTATTTTTCTTGTCAAGCCATACAAATTCGAATCATGTTTTATAAAAAAACAGAACAATAGAATTATGAAAGCATAGACTCTAGAACTTTTCATTATTATGAAAAAAAGTTTGAATCAATCAAAAATTCATTGAAATTGATGAACCATTCATAAACTGTATTATATAAGCCTACAGACCTTTCTTTTTAAATTCAACATCTTCAGCACAATCTAGTATTCGATTAAAACAAGTTCCGCATTTTTCGCAGTATTCATAATAATGCACACATCTAAAAACTGGCTTAATTTCATTTGTCAATGCATCAAGAAGAAAATGTTTCCAAATGTGGTTAACTTGTATATAGATATTCTTTCGAATAGTCAGTGATAGATGAGCAATGTCTGTATCACTATTTAATAGTATAATTCAAAGCTAGTTTTCTTTTAGGAAATGCGCAAGTGAATATTCTATCTAATCATGAATGGTAAATATGTATGTTGCCGTTCTATTTCTTATAATTCAATGTCTGAAAAATCTAGAAATGACGATTTCAAGGTATTCATAGGTGAAATCTTGGGACTGGATAATAATTAATGAAGAATTAGACATGATAGTCAACAAAAAAGAGCAGCGATAACATGATTATTATGATATTCATAGTTATAAGACTTTCTTATCAATATATCAGGATATTATTTTTGTATTATAATATAGGAAAACTTCTGTCCTATGACATAGGATGCAATGAATTCACACAAACATTCAATGTTCTATTCTAGAATAGATAATAATTCTTTTCTTCTACTTTAGATATTTCTCTATATTCTGAGTTATTTTTATGCACTTTATCTTTTGATTCCTACCCATATCAAACTGATTTTTTTAATGTACTTGACACTCATAGACTTCAAGATGTGTTCCTATCACCAGACTTTCTACCCAGGTCGACGGTTACGGACTACTTATACAACTGTAAACGACCGTGCTTGTTCGACCTGGGTATTTCCGGATAGATGCTTCAATACTTGCATAAATTATGTGTAGACTTCGTGATGAAAATCATAAACGGTGCATACTAAATTCTGATTCCCTCGTGCAATATTTTTTTTTCTTGCATGTTTCTAAAGTAGAAGCGACTGATATTTACAGTATATATACTAGATGTCTAAATCTACTCTATGCTACAATTTCAGCTTTCTGCTTCTTATTGTTGCTGAAATACTAGCATTCCAAAATAATAAGAATTTTTGGATTATAATTGGAAACAATTATTGACGAGAAAATTGTATTCGTTCCATCACGCATTCGTTCCGAGTAACTTTTGCTCTACTATATATAACTCTTGCGTTCTGTTGCTTGTCATCGTCGTTATGAATAGGAAAAAAGTATATGATCTATTTTCTCTGCTGATCGTAACATTCATAAATAACAAAATGTATGAATGAATTACATGGAGAGAAAAAAATGATTCTGATATTGACTGAGTAAGTTGATAAATAATTACCGTTTCTCTAAAACACATTACAGTTTTTTTTTTAAATAAAGCACTCATCTATTTAGATTTTTGAAGGCATCAAATTAGTTCAATTAATTTACCTTGACAATATATCAATTATTTATCGAGATAAGAAATAATTTAGATCTCTTGTATTAGATTTTAAAAATTTGAATCCATCACGACAGGCACTTCAAATTGCCACTTTTCTTCAACAATCCGAAAATCCTCCATTATTGAAAAGACATCAAATTGTAACAAAGGTTAGAAGAACACTAGCAAGAAACACAATCGATGATAAGCAAAGACCCGAACGTCCTGTTACAGCATCAACATCAGCTTTTCAACAACAAATAAAACATCTATAAGATTAAGCAAAGGAGCTTCGATTAGATATGTAACATCAAATTTGAACAGAAATGAAATAAAATGTTCTATACAAAGTGTTTACAAAACTGCACGAAAATCGATATTAAAATAGTTTTAGACGAAAAAATCTCAAAAATTAACAAACGATAATAAAATTAAAGAGTAATTTATGCTAAAAAATTAAGAATGAAACTTGGAGTTGAAAAGGAAGCACAGAAATGGAAATAGAATAGTATAGTAAATACGGATTTTAGCGACAAAATCACTTTACAACCATTTCGAAACAAAAGAAATGGTGGTATTTGGGCAGAAGAAGGTGAAAATATGCCACTATTTTTTATCTATGCACCAACAAATAAATTCCAAAATGAAATTCCTTTTTGGGATGCGACTTCTTCATATGGACTTATTAGTGCTCGTGCATCAATTAATTTTACAAAGTGGCTACATCAACAACCATTACAAGTTAAAAACAAAGGACAGGGGCGCATAAGAAGCCGATTTGGCCCATAGGATATTTTCAGTCACTTTATCGCCTATCCTATTCAGAAAAATGTGGTGATCCTTTTGGTAATAATTTCAAGTCAAGCTGTGAGGATTATAAGCTATTTTGAGGGAGAATACGTGCAAAAAAGTATTGAAGTTTCATTGGGCTCATAGTTGTCTAGTATTAGCTCANGTGTGGGGGGGGGCGGGGCGGTGCGTCGCGCGGGCGCGTGGCGGGGCGGACGCGAGGGGGGGAGGTGCAAATTTCTACCCCTAAACACTTCAACACTCCTTTCAGGTCGTGTTTCACAAAATATCGCAAACATTAAATAAGTGAATTTTACTCCAGCATCGCGAATATCAGTTACGATAGGTCGTCTTTTACATGAATTCTCGTTTTGTACAGCAGATAATGCTCCTGAATTTTATATAATTTTGTCTGAGTGATATACAGCGATAAAAGACTTTAATATTCTTTCCTCACAACGACAAGTTCACATTGATATTCAAAGCAGAAAAGTGCAATTACAAATCTCTTATATAACAAAATAATTGGTTTTCATTGTATAATCACCAACCTGATCACCCAAAAACGTCAAAAGCTACTGAACAAATTATTATGGCAATAATATACATTTAGCACTCAAACAATTGATGAAAGTAAAATGGAATGAATAATCAAAGCATATGAATTGTTTATCAATATAGTAATCAATTGTATTAGATCTTATTTCGATAATAGTAGTGAGTTATTTAAAACGCTATCATTATTTCATTCTCCAAGGAATCAAAAGTGGATAGTCTTGTCTATGTGTCAAAATGTTTTTTGAGGGATGGGAGATTTCACCATATTTATGTCCTTGGATGAGAAACAATGGTCTATTAGTCATAATATTTTGTTCACTCTGAGCAATTAGTGTAAAGAAAAACATGACTGCGTGTGTAGCACGCATTCTGGGGAACATTCAACTGACTCTTCATTGTCACTGATTAATCTGTGTAAATGATGGGGGACAGAGCAATCAAAACGACGGTAATATTTGTATGAAATAAATGCAGTATAGGATCACTGCCTCATACTCGATTAATTCACATGTAGGCGTTTATATACAAAAGCTAAACTTATTTCGCGACGTATATATAGGCCGCATATATTGCTTTATTCGCACTCATACAACGACATCGATAGATTAAACTATTAATGTGGTGTTGGACACACAAGATTTTACAGAAATCCAACGAATAAGTGTATATTTTTCGAAAGTACAGCCTCTTCAGCAAGTCTTCTTGTGGTCATAAGTATCGAGCAGATTTTCCTCTACTCAAGTAGAACCACTAGCCTTTCAAAGTATTATTTTTGTATTATTGCGATTGTTTTACACGAAGAGAAAGCTTTCCAAAATTATCTACGAAATGAACCGTAGAAATAGACTACTGTAAAACCACTCTTCTCAAAAATGGTCTGTAAACTGGACGATCAATCCAGTTTCTGATTGACAAGGTAGAAATGCAAGAATTCAGTATTGTATTCTTATTTCATTCGAAAAGATTTAATGTAGCCGAAAATAAAATACGATACAGTGCTGAGAAGAAGAAGCTCCAGGATACTTTTTGTGGAAGGCATTCTCTATAAGTTACTATTTTCCGAAGAATATGTTTATGATAAGGCATTCAGAGCGAATAGTTTTAACAGTGCAATATCTAGTTTTCATGATGTTATTTCACACTGTGATCGTGTTTGAAAGTATTGCGAAATCGCGTTAGAAAAAAAAAGGTTCTAATATTATCCTTTGATTATACCGATCATGAATCGTCCATAGAACTATAATCGATTGTAATCTATTGGTAGAGTCTTTAGAGGAGCTGAGTTTTATAGAGAAACTACAAACCAGTACGAATGTTCTCCTATACATGATATATTCGATTGAGGAGATCATCGCCTAAAATTTACTCATTAATGTCGCTAGCAAGGATTTAGTATCCACTCGCTTTCCGCTCTGTAAAACATGCTGCTCTTATCGGTCGATATCTATTAACGATGAAACTATCGATAGGAGAATTCTAATTCCGATTGAACAATGATAAGTTAGGTTTTCTGTTTGCGTAGAATATAAATAGTCTGATGTATACATTGATCTCTTCTACGCTCCAACGACTTTTTGTTATATATCCTCGTAAATTGGCGATAGTCATTTAAAAATGCTGGAATTGATAAATTCACAGTGCTGGGTATGCGTAAGGTGCCGGAAATGCAAAATTAAAGCAAATATTTTTTCTGTTCCTTGATATATAGTTAGACAGAGCTAAGGATGGACGGTGTCAGTGACAACACCGAAAAATCCGATACTTTTGTCATCGACAGTGACGCTCAATACACACCGATAGGTTCAGTTTCACTGATCACTGATGCACTGACATCCTTGGCGTCACTGGTGAGTGAGGCACACTGATATCTCGTAATTAATTGTCATATAATACTGCAAGATATGTGCTTAAAATAAACAAAGAACGATCATAAACTAGATGCACGTATTTTTTCAAGACAGTTAATGATTTTATTGTTAGAAACGTGAAGAAGAATAATACATCTTCGTCGAAGAGTTAGATAAATAAGTTATAAGTGAAAATCTTCGATAAAGGAGCACATAAATAAATTAATATTGTAGAAAGACAATTTTGTGAAAATAGAAGTAAATGCGTCTTTCAAAGATCAAGATAAATAAAATGAAAACGCAGGATAGAATAAAACACATATTAAAGAGAATCAAGTGTACATAGTAATAAACAAAAAAATATCTGCACAATAACACAACTTTTTAGATGACAAATACCACTTATAATACTAAATACAGAACAAAAAAATTAATAAAAACAAATCGGTTAAAAATCAGATCGATTTCAAAAGTTTATTGTGTCGTTCAGAAAGACACTTGACGAAAGATTTTCACCCGTTAAATGGGCACGCTCTTTCCTTACTAAAAATGATGAAATACTGAAACAACTTTCGCTCCATACTGAAGTTGCAGATATACTTAACATTTTTTTAGCAAGTCCTTTTTAAATTGAAAACGTATCTCCATATGTTATCCAGAAAATAGTTGCTGATGTTGCATCTGGTATATGTTTTAAATTTAATTGAGCTGCATATTCTCGATAATTATGAAATTCGTGAATAATATAATAGATGTGAGTCTTAGTCTCTTCGTATCACGTACACCCACCCCACCCACACCTAAGATTTGTCTTGATCGGGTGTTTACTGTTACGGTTTACAACTCTACTCTATAATCTAATCTTTCTGAGGACATAAAATATGAATTAACCTCGGTTATCTTAGTCACTTAATATACAGTACAAAATGCATTAAAAGGTCTGATTTTATTAGTAAGAGACTTCTGATAACCAAAATGACTAAACAGGTAACATAAAATTGACTTTTATGAGGAGATTACGAAGAATTTTGCTTCATAGCAACCTCCTCACTTTCTTGTGAACTGGTTGTTTTTCAAGTTTCGAGATAATTTTTAACATGAAAACAGAACAGAAAAAAGCTAACCGTCAGTCTATTCGATAAGCTCATTTTATTCATTACAGCTGAAAGAACAGTCGATTATAAATAATGAATCACATAGATAACTCAACAATAAATCGACAGCATTCTTTAGAAACATGTTGATATGTGTTAACAGAGTTCTCATAGCAGCGAACTTTGGTATGCCTAGTTTTCATTGTCTTTTGTACCTTGATCAGTCAATAGATGTCAACATGAATTTTCTGATTCATTGTGATAATAAAAGTCTAATTCGAGTAAAACGTAAATATCTTGTACAAATAAGCGGTTTATGATACATTGTAAAAGCGATTATTAATGAATTTTTATTTGATGTATCGTTTTTTTGTCGATAATCGACATTCGAAGGATCGCAACATATTTCGCAACCAAGTGAAACTCGAATGCCATCTAACATTTTCTCCTTTCTCGACGTAGGCAGCAAAAGTTGTTATGTTCTATCGTAATGATCTCAAGAAATGAAATCCAAAAAATATTCGTTCCAATGCGAGAATGAAATCTCATGATCAAATCGATAGCATCCATTTTCTTAAAGAAAGTAGCCCAAACAAGCAATTTCTATGCAATTTGTTTTTCAACCTTCGAGACTATTAAAACGAAAATAGCAATATAATCGATCATGAATCAGAGAGGCAATCAAGCGATTAATCGAAAATAGTTTTTAAAGTTATATTTATATTCGTTGATAGAGTACTATTGATCTTTCTAATTTCGATCATCTCATTAATCGAAATTTAATTTTTCCGATTTACATTGACAAAAAAAAAAAGAAACAATTATATCAGTATGGCGTGATTATCTTTTTCAGAATATTGTTTGATATTCAATCGTCCAAACAATTATTCATTTTTTTAAATACTTTCATTTATCGGTCAATCGTCAGTGAAAGTTTCGTACTGCATTTAGTAGTCAAGTAAAACTCAAACACTATCTAGTTTTCTTTATTGACTGCACTGACCATTTCTTATCTTTATTTCCTAATAAATAAAAAAAACCAGTTTATATAAAAAATAGTGTCAAACACCAAATCAATATAAGCAAACAAAATACTATTATAAATTTAAAAAAAAACAAGGATCACCATCACCATCACCAGAATTATTTATAAGCAAGTAGAAGTTGTAAATCATCTGTTGATTGTTTTCTTTCAATTGATCGAAATCCAATTTGTTTAAGAAATTTTTTCGAATATAAATCTTTTGGATTTTCTTGTTCTTTAGTTATTGATATCATATTCATAAAAAGATTAAGTGTCAATGTGACTTCATCATGTTCATCATTAGGTACAATTAAAATAAGAAGACTTTTTCTATTTATTGGTAATATATCATATGCTTGGTTAATCTTTTCTTTTAATAAACCATCTTGTCTCCAAATAATAATAACATCTGCATCTTTATCAATTGAATCAATTGAAATATTCGAATAATTTGTTAAATCAACTAATTGTTTAATACGTAATAACATTAATTGATTAATTGAATCTTTTGATGAATTATTAAGAAGACTATTATCCAATTGAGGCATATTTTTATAAAATTCTTGATCAATATTACATAAAATTTTTTGATTAGAAAAAATAAAATTTCGTGTAAATTTTGTTAATTTATAAGAAAAATTTTCATTATTACGTTCCAAAAAATTCATTGATGTTAAACAATCAAGTATATCTTGAAGACATCTTGATTCATTTTCAATATAATGTAATTTTAAATGTTTAGCTATATCAGAACATAATAAGCCATCATTATATGATAAAAGTAAATCAAATATTTTTAATTCCAATGATGTAAATATGATACGTGAACGCATATAACTTTGTGCTATTTCAAATAAATATTGTTCACTATCATATATAGATAATGATGATATCATCTAAAAAAATAAATATATTTATTCTTTTTTTTTTTTTTTTTATTTGTACAGAAGAAATTTATCGAGCAAAATTTATTGTCCATAAACGAGCCATTCGTTCATAATCACTACGCTCATGTTTATATTGTAAACCGAGCTCTTTCATTGCACAATGATCTAGATAAGAAAAGAATTAAGAATATTTCAGAAACAAAAAATAACACTAAGAATGTGATGAAGTTTTATGAATGATAAATTTCAAATGTGAAAATATAGATACAAAAGAGTAAGTCTAACATAAACTAAGATGCACTTCTTATTCATTGATAGTTTGTAATCTCATTAATAACAAGTATTTAAAATAACGACGAATTAGTTGAAAACGAAAATTCTTTATTCTAATACAAGCAAGTCGTAGTTTATTTAGCTTAACACATTATAGTACAATGAAATAATTCATCTTTTGAAGTCTGGAATACAAGATTAATTTGATGTAATATTCTTATATTGATATTGAAAAATGTTTAAAAGTATTTTAGAGTATGATAATATTGAAGGTGTGAGTAAATATTCTTTTCGATAGCATTCACACCCTCAAATTAATTAGAAATTAATTCAAAACCGGGCGTATATAGTCTTCTCGTCCTCAAAAGGATTAATTCAGTATCATTATCATGCAATAATAGGAAAAGAAAACTAGTCAAAGAATGTCTAGGATTTTCATACAACCATTATGTAATTACTAATCAGATTTCGATACATAAATTTCATCGATTCGAGCTGTTTTTTAATATTGAATTATTGTTTAAAATGAAACTAAACAATGTTCTCATAGATTATTATTTTCTTTCGGTTAGCTTTGTTTTTAATTGATTAAATAAAGGATCTTATTGTAACTATATTTTTTAAAGAAATTTTGAAAGAGATCAAATTTATTCGTTTTACTTTTTTTCTTCAGAAGGGTTTCAGAATTTTATTAGATTTTTTTTTACTTATAAATTCCCAATAAAAAATTCTCAATTCAAGTGCTGTTGGAATATTCCCGATTGAGAAGAAAACTTGTTGTAATTATTTCCAAATTTTTAAAGTCTTATCGAAATTGATTTCTGTTAAGAAAATACATAATCATGACTGAGGGAATAGCAAAACACGAAAAGACTAAGTTACGAGAAAATCTACAGAGTTTCTTAAAAGCCACCGAACAGTTTTTGTGATAGAAACATAAGAAAGAGAACTGGGATTTTCACCATTGAAAAGAGAAGAGTTGGAGACATCGGACTATATAAGAAGCATGATATTTACAAACATATTTAGGAGGATGTTGAAAAACTGAGGCTTTTAAAGTTTCCAAAACACTTTAAATTCTGAGTACATCATCTCGTTTAATCTTGATTTTTCGAAAACTACTCAATAACTCTTGAGTTATTCTATGTACTCGAGTGATAGTAATAAAGCTACATAATCATTCCTGAAACATAATTTAGCAATATACTGATTTCTAACTCTCGAATCACTGTGCATATCTATTATCAAGAGACTAATAAAGATAAATAAATATCCTAATTCTATTATAATGCACTCATGAATGCTTGATATCAATAATAGACTCATGACAATATTATTCATTGGTGAATATATAATTATAGATAAATTTTTTTGTGAGAAACTCAACTAACCAGGTTCACATTGAACAAGTAAATTTGCTACTTTCTGAATAATTTGTCGAATAGTTACAGTTGGTGACCAATTTTTATCGAATATATCATGTTTAACTAATCCTGTACTTTGATAGATATTACAATGATAAATTCGTGTTTTAAATTCAAGCTAAAATAGATTAAATTGATAATGAAAAATAAATAAATCAAACAAACAAACAAAAAATGTTCTTACTGTAGGTGGTGTAAATGGATAATCATCATCAAACGTAAGTAAAGCAAAAAAAGTGCCATCTTCATAAAGAGAACCAGGAGCACCTTCGAAAACAACAAGCCATTGTTTAAGACTATCAGCTGTTGGACCAGCACTTCAAAAAATTAATAAAAACAAATTAAAAAAAAGAACACTCAATTTCAATCATACCAAGTAAATGGTACTGGATTTTGTTGAAGATCGAGACATTCACGTCGAAGTCTAAATAAAAACAAACAATTAAATTTTTAAACATAAAATAAAATATAATTACCGATTTGTAAATGTTGGATTTGAAGACGAATTTGAAGACATTATTGAGAAATTTTCAAATATGTAATTATAAGCAAACAAAACTGAATGAATATGATTGATGGCTTTTTTCTTATTGGTTAATGTCGCCCTTTTCATGAAATTTTAATAGAGGCTATTGAAGATGTCTGCGGTCTATCGTATTGGATAATATAAATCTTGTTAAAATTATCGATTATATTTTGTATTTCGTTTTTCGATTGTAAGTAAATAATGTCTTCTTCTTTTGTTAATAATGATGACTGCTTCGTAAGTTTTAAAAGTTTGAATTATTTTTTTTTTCCTATTTTTGTCAAATATTTATTTTTTATTGAAGTATCAAAGCGTCGAAGCAAAACGTCAGAAAAATATTGAAGATAATCGTCGTTTTCTTGCTGCACTAAAAATTAATGATGTAAGTGATGCACTAAAATGGATTTTTAAATTAAAATCAAAATTATCGATCCTTCCATGTGTGAAAAACTTAGCTCTTGCCATGTTTTGTCTTTGGACTTATGGTATAAAATAATTTTTATTATTCCATATATATAAGAAAAAAAGAGAACAGATGTTCGAGTATGCATCAACAAGGCAATAACTGATAGTCATTAAACTTTTCATATCAAATAAAATTCTTAAGAATATTATTAGTTTCGAAATTTATTTTAGATTCGTGATGAAATTAAAGAAATAACTAGTAATACAGATGCTGAAAGTGTCAGTTCAACTGGACGACGAGCAGTAAAAAAGTAGGTCTTTATTATTTTTTTTTCATTTAACTATTTTCGATATTTCAAGAAACATAAAACCAGATACTGTTCGTCGAGGTTCCAGAATTCGAAAGAATATCATTCAAATTGAAAATATACCACCAATAGAAGACAAACGAAAGAAGAAGACAACAAAAAAGTCTGATGAAAATCGAACTCATTCTCTACCAAAAATCAAATTAGTGAGTAAATTAAAAATACCATGGCGCTCTAAATTGATCATACATCTAATAGATGACCTTACTTTCCTAATATCCCCACCTGTTTCCACTCTGAAGATGCTATGTTAGATAAAAAAAATGACTATATAAAAATCCATGTAAATTTCGCAATGAAATATTGCATACTTTGTGATTATAAACAGGAAATCCATTTCAAATATATTTTAACCATAAAAATCGAGTAAAACTTCGCTTACGCGTTTCTTTTTCGAAATCGTAAAATGTACCGTATTTCATGAAAAAAATTTACATATATTTTTATCGAAGGTCATACGATCGATTTTGAATCTATTTGACGGACATCATTTTTAGTATTTTTTACTTAGTACAGCAAGTTTACAATGTAAAGACATGATATTTGATGTTAATAAACTAGAAAATCTCGATTACACTTTATCAAAAACCTTCTTTTTAGATATTAGTAAAACAAGGTCATCTGCTAGATGTACAATCAATTTTGACATAATTTTTATTTCATTTTAGCAATTACCTGACCATATGTTAATACGATATCACTCAACGAGTAAAAAAATCGCTTTACACAATACTAAGGTAGATGTTTAAACTTTCTACTTTTTTTTTGTTTTAAATCGTTATCTTTTCATGTATGTAGACCAATTTTGGCGATGGCGATAATGAAAGTATATTGATGTGAAAAAAAATCTTTATTTATGTATTCTTTCTGTTTTGTAAATGTTTCATAGATGAGAATGATAGACTTATATTTTTTTTTTAAATGTACTATATCTAGTCATGAATGAATTTCTAGATATATATAGATATTAAAATGTCATTGAATAAAGAAAAAAAAATCAATCAATATGATAATGAAAACCCTAAATCACTACATGACGAACAATCTAATAAAAAGAAGATAAATCAATTAATGATAAAGGATCAAAGCAACATCAAGATATATTCGATGATAGGAATAAAATTCAAGGTAAACAAAGATAAATCAGCTGATAATAATGTATACGAAGAAAACAGTGATGAAGGGTCGAATGAAGATAAAGATTCGAAAAATACGTCACCTTCATGTAGGCATAATGTAAATAGATCGGAAATATTTTTCTTCAAATAGATGGATCAAATCAATCAAGGTTATAAATCTATGGTTCATCATTATATATATATATATAAGGCAATGTAAACATGTAAAATTAATCTAGCCAATTCTATTTATAAACATAATTTGTTTTTTTTATTATTGAGAATCTTGATCAATAAACGAGCAATCAATTGGTTTGTTTTTTTTTTCTAAAAGGTAACTTTTACTATAAAAAGGATATGATTGATTAGATGGTTTGCCCTTAAGGGGATGACGGGTGTCCTTGAGTTATAAAAGTGCGTTCGTTTCAAAACAATCAACATAATATCAAATACTCGCGTAAATGGAGATCTGCTTACAAGCTTGCTATTTATTCAAAATAAAGTATAAAAACAATTATTTTATTTTATTTTACGTTTTTTTGAAATCAAAAGAAATATATTCGAAATTAAAAAGTATAGTTCTTTTATTTATTTATTTTATGATTATAATTTAGAATTTCTTTCATAGTAAAATATCATTTTAAGAATATTTATTATATTATTGTTTTTTTGTCTGACGATTTTATTTTGCTCATAAAACATGTCAAAACATCTTTTTAAAATATAGATCGAATTCATTTGTTTTCTACCCAAAATTTTTAATTTTTCTATTCTATTAGTTAATAACCATTCGTTCCGTGGGTGGAAAGTATTCTATCTATGAAAAAAGAATGTTGACTTTGACATCTTCCTCGCTTTAATAAATCATATTTTATAGTATGTATCTCTCGATGCTATGATTACTTCGATTATCATTAAAAATCAGGGTCGTGTCGCTATCACCATTAGTGATGGTTTTTCAGTCGACAACGGGTGTTATATATACGAGACACAACTTGTTTCGTATATTGATGAATGAGGTATATGCACAATGTAAAGAAGAAAAAAAATAACAGAGTAATATGTGTACTTGAGCAAGACGATTACATTAGCTATCAGTGTTTGTTTTTTTTTTATTGGAGTAGAATATAGACGTATACATATATATGTAAAAGATAAGAGCGTTAATGATTGCATACAGCTGTTGCCTTAAAAACGTTTTACATTTAACAGTTCTCTATTCATTTGATAGAACTTAAAGGTGAGTGCTAAATACTTCAAACTTTGATCCTTTTCTTTTTGTAAAAAATACAAAATAGTATATCTTGTCTCACTTTTTCAGTAGCATAACACGTCCTTACCCTTCATATTAGATAGAAAAAAATAGAAATAGACAAATAAGCACGCGCGCACTCCTATCTGCATATATTAACGAACGAGACGAAAAAACAAATTATGACGTTATGAAAACCTTGTTTGGAAGTATAAAAAAAAAATGGAAAAACTTGAATAGTCTATCTGTCTCTCGTATGTTTTTCCACAAGTATATCATTATTTAAAAAAAAAGAAATTGATATGTTGTAAGGTGGGTAAGTGAAATAGTAACGCCTCATCTTCGAATCAACAGTTGTTCGTGTCTTCTTTTTGATGATGCATGTATGTGCAACATATGTTGGAATAAATAGAACAAAAACCTTGAATATTGAATCGTTGTTGAAGGAAAATTTCTAGTCGAACTGTTCTATTCATTGATCGTGACCTTGTTCGAATCTTCCCAAAAGCACTGTTTCTGATTTGATATATTATTATCCGTAATAGAAATAGTCGTCGACGGGAAGAAAAGTAAAATAGACAAGCCTCAATGGGTGAGAGAATCTTTGTGTTCTTCGAAGTTTTCTCGCAATCATTGTTACTACAGAAAAAAAAAAAAAATCAAATCTTCATTTTGATTTCAATATTTGTTGTTATTGTTTTTTGTTTGTAACAGATAGTCAACTTTATGTGTACGTAAAACGAGTATATCTACTTCAATGAAAACGTAAAAGAAACGATGCTCGTTTGACGAGAATAAATGCAAATCTGATCCAAGTCTGATCAAATTTCAAGATTTTTCTTGTATTTTTAAATATACTTTGGAAATAAAATACGTAACAAGTGATCTAGAAGATCGAGTATGCAGCAGAAAAAAAGCGACGAATATTTCGTAATTACAGAAGAGAAAGAGGAAGAGAGAGAAAAAAAAGAGAGAGAGAAAGCAAACTCTCATACCATTCATATTTTATGGCTCCCCCGTTGTTTTTCATGGTCGGTACTCTAGTTATGTTATTATTTATTTATTTTTTTGACAGTGACTAGACATTCCACTGGTCCTTTCCTTGCTTTTTTACTGATCAGAACTGATAAGTCTTAACTATGAAATTACAGTCATCATTGTCTTTTTTCTTTCTTTCATTGCTTTTATGACACTATTAAGTTAAAATTGTGACAGTGATATTTGTTTGCATGAGTATGTAGTGCGATCGAACTTGTTCTTTTATTTAATCAATCGTAAGTTTTCATTAATCAAAGTCTTTTCAAGTGTGAAGCATTGTTTTTTTTTTATGTTCAATCTTTAGATGACCTTACATGAGTAGACAAGGAGAAATAACACCACACAAACATGTCGTTTTGGGAGTACTTCTTGAAGGCAAAACTTCATTAGTAATGATTTCTATTTATAAATCAAGTATCTGCCTGTTTACAATAACACCTGTGTACATAGCTTGACTGTTTTTCTTTTTTGCTGTTTCTTCTATGCTTTTTGCAATCGAGCGTTGCCCCTTAATGGTAATGTCTTTACCATGCTGTCGTTTTTTTATTTCAGCTGCAGCATCATTCGTTGCCTTGTACGTGTTTCTCTTTTTGCAACACGAATAAAAAGAAAACAATAATCGTGTCTCTCACACATATAACGACAAACGTGTACTTTTTAATCATACATCATTATTATTGACGACATCAACAACTATTTAGTATTACACGGAATCATTAAATTTGAAGACATTTTGGTTAAATCAATAGCAACAAGAAGAAGAAAAATAAGAGGATCTATATAAATGCATGTAAGCAGACATATCATTCA